AAGGTTGTGGCTACAGCCAGCAGAGGGTCTGGAACCCCAGAAGTCCCTCAGTGATTAAATCAAGAATGTTTCCATTTCATGTTTCCTGACTGGTTTTCCTTTGTGATGAAATCATGAATAATTATTTAGCAAGCTATGTTTAGTGGTATGAGTGAATGGCCCTGCCGTTCAGAAGCCGAAGGTTTGCTGGAATAGACGGAGAACCTGTGGGTAGAGGACGGGGTGCTAAGGGCTATGGTGAGGGGTCTGCTGGGTGGTGAGTTAGAGGCTGAACTTGCCTGAGGTTCAGGTATTCCTGGACTAACCTCAATACACCAAATGGTCACTCCATTTCTTATCGTACCAGCAGTGCAGCCTCATATTTTTGGGACATTTAGATTCCCTCTTTAAATAGAAATATTCTGTGACAGAGAAGTACGAGCTTCTCTTACCCCACAATTTTAAACACAAGTCCTGGAATTGATATTCATTGGATGGAAACAAGTCATCATTCAACCAGTTGGAGTTGAGTGGCCTGATTGTTTTATGCTTTGGTGACTTAGCACCCCTTGGGCTAAGGAGGGGAGTGTCTCACCCAAATCATAGAGCTTCTGTGTGGTCAATTCCCCTCAAGAAATGCTAGTTACTCTTGTTAGGCTATGGGGAAATGGATGCCGACTATCCTAACAGTTCTCCACTAAGTTTTCTCTGTCCAGTGTCCAGAGAACCCAGTCTCTGATGTCCTTGGGCCAAGCACTCATATATGTTGTGAACAAATTATCCCAACTCTGTCAGCAGTGTGACAGCAGAGGAAAGAGAGATTTAAAGGAAAACATGATGGTTATAAACAGTCGAATCCCAGTTTTGTTCAAGGAACAGCATCTTATGAAAACAGAGAAAGAATGGAAGTAACATGCTTAAGCATCAGTGATCATTCCTGGATGGTGGAATTCTTGGTAGTTTTCATTTTCTTATTTATGTATTTAAGTATCTTTCTAGGATGAATAAGTATTGCTCTTATACCCAACATACATTTTCCCTGATTGTAGTGTACTTATCAATGGCCAACATTCAGCGAACCACTCTGTTTCAGTCCAGCCTTCTCTAAGGTGGATGTTTTAAAATGAGGTTACTTTTCTGAATGCAATCTTATGAAAGATTTAGAGATTGTTGAAAAATAGAAGAAAAAATTCTCTTAATAGAGAATTAACTTTTGAAACAATAGAAAAATACCCTTGAAAGTAATACCTTTCATTATAGTGAGTTGCCTTTGGAGACACACACACACACACACAAACACACACACACACACACACACAGACACACAGACACACAGACACACACACACACACAAGAACAGTGGGAGCTAAGGAGAGGCTGGCACAGGTGAAGATGAAAGAGCACCCGCAAGGTCATTTTGGGCTTCAGGAGGATGGGCTGCCAGGACACAGAGGTTCCACTGAGCTCTGGGCCCAAGACAGGGCTGTGACACGCACTTGAGCTGGGGCTGGGCGTACTGAAGGGCCCTCCTGAAACTTCTCAGGCTTACAAGGTGCTGTGAATTGGGGAAAGAGTGCTTCGTGGGGTGAAATTACACCCGTACAAAAGCTTCCCACCCCTTTCTGTTCTTGCGGAGAAATGGTTCCCTACCCCAGAGCTTCTAGCTCATCCTTCTTTCAGTTTCTGGATTCTTTTATGCTGCATATTGGTCCTGGGTTCTGCTAATGGGGTAGGGTGTAGGTGTGGAACGAAGTAGGAGAGGAATATGAGTGGGATAAGAGGGTTGTGTAGAAGAGGGTCACTTTTTCCTGATGGAACTTACATTTAGCCTGGCAGGGAGAGCTGGTTCTGGGAGGTGTATTTGGAAGGAGTTTGGTATCGATGCAGCACAAATTTTTGTTGTAGAGATGAAACATTAGTTATGCTGAAGGGGGAAGCATATAAGAGATCGGAAATTTGAACATATGGTTGCTGGACACAACAGTAGGTAATTAATAAATGTTTTGGTGAATAAAGAAGGAATCGATGATTTTCAGTCAAGAGATGAAGTTTATTAAGTATCTTGCTGAATAGCCTATACCCTCTCAGCCCAATGCAGTATTGGCCTTTGCCTCAGAGAAGATGGACGGATCAATTCCAGGGTGGCTCACTGTGATCTCAGCAGTTTGAAGCGTCTCATTGTTCTTTTTATCCAGGGCAAAAACTTCGAGATCCTGGTGTAGACTCTTGGAGGTTTTGCACTGGTGTTTCCGTAGGAGACAATGCCTTGGGCCATGTTGTTACATATGAGGGGGCCCCCGGAATCCCCCTGTGGGCAGAGAGATGAGGGACTGAATTGGACCTCCTCCTGGTCCTGCCCTCCTTTCCCCCAGAGATGGGTGGTCTCTGTTAGGGCACAGCATGGGAGAGCAGTGCCAGGGAAGGCCTTGTTGCCTCCTCAATTCCAAGGGTTTTAGCCTGGCTCTGATGGTTCCCTTCTCCCTTGTGCATAAAGCTTCTGTCCATATGTGGCTGAGGGTCAGTCTCTCATTCCCTCCAGAGAGACAGCACCAGAGACTGGATCAGTGGAATGTCTGAGGACATAGCCATATGAGTGGTTGCCACAGCCCTGGGTCTCCTCAAAGCTCGACTGTGCTGGGTATGGACCATTCTGGGATCTTACCTTAAAAGTAGTCTGAATCTTTTTCGGGTCCCCCACACATATCTGGATGATGTTGTTGTAATGTTTGTAGCGAGAAATGCATTTTTTGTTGCTCTGTATTTCAATCTCTACTTCGTGCAGTTTTCCATCACCTCTGGTGTTTATAGCCAGGCGCCCCCATCCGGCCACACTGCACACCATCCCTGGCTTCACCTTGTCTCTCATTGAGGGCAGATTGATGAGGCTCACGGCGGCAGTCAGTTTGGCCTTCTTCTCCAGCTGAAGGCAGAAGACAGGAATTCTAATCTACCCGTGGCCCACAGCCTGCAGGGTCAGTCCTGTGGTTACAATCTTAATGGCCCTGGGACAAGTCAAAGGACCATCCTGGGAAGGAGTATGGGACAGAGGTCATGCAGACAGAAAACCCTGGGATTAAAGTGTCCAAGAGCCAGTGGAGCCCTACCTGCAGTAACATGATGTCGTTCCAGTGTGGAGGATTATTATAGTCTGGGTGGCGTATGGCTCTTTTCACCAGGATTTCCTGCTGGGTCTCCTCTTTCTGCTTGATGTTGTGGGCTCCCAGGGTGACAGTAATTGAGCTGCAGAGACCAGAGAGGGTGATGTAGTCACAGGAGATATAGCCCAGGGGCCGTGAAAGAAAGAGGACAGTTGGGGCATGGCAGGACTGCAGTGGAGAGGAATGATAGGGTCTCTGGGACTGAGCATGTGTGTGCCCCCTGCTTCTTGGCAGTTCAGGCTCAGTGGCAGTTCATGGAGCAGGCCTCACTGTGTTGAGCTTGCCTGTCTCTAAGCAAACCTGTGATGGTCTCACATTTGCACGCTGGGTTCCAGGGCACAACCTCAGGCTCCTTCCCGAGCCACCATTGATCAGTCCCCTCTCTCTTCAACAGGCCACTTGCGTTGACCTGACCATCTCTCCGAAAACTTACCTGTCTTTGGAAGAGCTACTCTGTGTGAGTAGGTGGCTGAAGTCTACAGCCCCTAAGATGAGTGTTCCCTGCCAGGTGTCTACAGAATGGGTGGGTCCCGGATTCTACTTCTCACCTTCTCCAGCAGTGAGCTGCTGTCAGTACGAAGTCCTCACGCACAAGGAAACCCCCACAGTTCCCAAGATGTGCCATGTAGGGACGAGAGTGAGGCTTAGCCTCATGGCCCCCGATGATTTCCCCTGAAAGAAAAATTCTGCCCTGCTTGCTGTGCTCATGGAGCCAAGGGCTGGAGCAAGAGAGACTGGGACAAACTGGAGCAGGGCGGGGAGGAGTGCTGTGGCAGATGGTGGGGTCTGTAGTAGTCATCCGTAACCAACAAGGGGTCCTACGGGTTCCTGAGGCAGCATTGCTGGCCTGCCAAGTGACCCACAAGACTCAGATTGTCCCTGTGACAAAGAGAAGAGCAGTCCTTATTCCTTAGTTACAGTTGCAGACATGTGTGGGTAGACAGGATTTGTTTTGGAACAAGCAGCGAAGGCCCTGTACATCCTGGCACTTGCTTTCCCTGAGGTTCTCTGGGTCTTCTCTCCATTTTTGTTTCCCAGACTCACTGAGCTGCTGCAGGTGTGTAATCCTCAGAACATTGTGATGGAGAAAATGACCAGAGAGAACTTGAGTCTGAACCAGCCAATAACAAGTGTTAAGGGGACTAGGATGCCAACAACTCGGGGATCAACTGTGTCAGCTTCTCTCCTGGGCAGCACAGAAATGACAAACCTTGGAGAAGGGGGAGGAGATTGAGGGTAGATTTTAAGATATTGAGTTAGAACATGAGAGGGCCTTACTTTCATTACAGAAACTTGCCCTTTTTTAACTGCCCTTCCCTGGAAATTAATTATTTGTCATTCCCAGCTTCTAGCCTTCTTCTAATGGGTTTGTAATTTAACCCACATTCCAGATGAGAAGGATAGGATCTGGGAAAGGCACAGTACCCACTGGATCTCATGGAAAACAGGCTTCTGCCCTGCCATTCCTGTGGAGTGCTTATTCAGCATCAGATAGACTGGTCTTTCAGGGAGGCTGAACCTAGAGGTAGAAAGTTCCTGGGGAAGGACCAGGTCCAGGATGTGTAGCATCTGCACATGGCTGTGACAGTGTGGGGTGGGGTTGGGCATCTGTTGGAGGGGACAGTCACTCACCTGCCTCCGTCCTGGGGAACAGAAGAATGGCCATCAGGAGTAGAAGTGTCTGCATCTTCTCAGAAATGTGGCGGACGTCAGAGCTGCTGGTCCTTCTTCTTGGTCTTCTAACTCCAGGGCTCTCCGTTGCTGTGGCCTTTATCGCGTAAGGCTCTATTTGAGTGCCTGACACAGCTGTCTGGAGAAATATTCGAGCCTGATGGAATAAGAACTTATCAGTAATGACATAAGCACCTGTAGCTCTGACTCGGTACTAACCATACCAGCTGAAAACATTAACCGCTGGTTACAAGTTGGGGGTTTGGAGGATGCTGTATTAGCCAATAGCAGGTTCCAGAGCCCCAGAAACCTGAGTCTCATTGTGGTGCATGCAAGAACTTCTCATTTCCTTGGTTTCTCTAGACCGTTTATTGAGGCCCTTTTTTGTGAGACTCAGGGCTATTGGACATGACATTTTTGTATGTGGTGGAGACAAAACCATCAGTGATCAGATATAGATGGTGAGGGCCATGGTTAGATGGATAGGCAGAATGGTGTTCAGCATAGTTGAAGAGGGCTTACTCGAGTTTCTAAAGAACTGAGTAGTTTCAAACAAAAATAGTTAAATTAATTTTTCTCATGAACCTGCATTTGGTCAGGATTAGGGTAGATAGCTTCCTTTGCTCCCCTTGATGTCAGGGGAGGCTTGAAGCCTGGAACCTGGGGTCAGCTGAAGGATGACTGACACATGCCCAGGGGTAGGTGCTGCTGCCCACTGGGCATCGGTTTCTCTCTGTGGTCTCTGCACAGGATTATTTGGTCTTGCAACATGATGGTTGGCTTCTGCAAAGTGAGCTTCTCTGAAAAATCAACCTGGGCAGAAGATGTATTCTTATTCTTACCTAGACTTTGATGTCATATGGTATCCATTGTACCATCTTCCACTGCTTGGGGCATTCAAAAGCCCTCGCCCAGAACTAAAAAGGAAGGAGTGCTGCAGTCACGTAAGAAGAGCCTGTGGGGTGGGAGCTGCACAGTGGCAGTCAGAGCAAAGCACAGTCAGCCACAGTGGTTTAGCTACATGTAGAGTTGGCCAGAGGAGTGAAAACTGCTGATCCCTGTAGCCTAGGTCACAGCCTTTGGAGAGGTTGCATCTGCTCTGTCCAAATGACATGTCCTGAGAATGGAAGAAGGTTGGCTCTCCCCAAAGTTACTGTCTATAATGAATTACTAGTACCATGTGAATTGGGAATGATGCCAGGAAGCCAAAGCAATGTTGTCAGGCTACTGTCCAGAGAAGTACTACATTTCTGATATTCGGTACCACATTAATGTATGTGTTTAATGTGATTCAAAGAAAAATATGTGACTAGAATATACAGTTTATTCCCTGAGCATTAAACACGTTCTATGCAATTCTAAAATTCATGTGGAAAATAATCATGCAAGAATTGCTAGGATAATTATGACCCCCCCCAAAAAAATAACAAAGAAAGGTAAGGGAGAGGGTTAGCCTTATCTCATATTAAACACATCCTATAAAACTTCTTTCATGAAATTAGCATGGTGGTGACTCATGAGTAAATAGAGAGACCAATGAAACATAACAGAAAGTCCAGAAACATTTCCAAGCATGTAAGGACATGTAGTATATAATGAGGTGGCATTTCAAATCATTGGGAAGTAGACTTTCTCAAAAGTGATATTGCAACAACTAGATAGTCATTTTTCAAGATATTAAGTCGGAGTCATATTTCACATAAACCACCAGAATAAACTAGAAATGGATGAGACTCAAATACACAAAAGAAAACTGTAAGTGCATGAGAAATAAACATGAGTAAATTCCTTTATAAACTCAGAAGGGGGAAAGCCTTTCTAGCAATTCTCTAAATTGAGAAACAGTAAAAGAACAGATTGATATAAATTTTGATATGTTTGAAATAATCTTTGAAAGCTTGAATGTCAAAAAGCAGAGTGAGTAAACTCAAAATACAGACGGCAAACTTCGAAATAAATTATTGAAACATGTAGCACAATTAAAAAGTGAATCTATCTCTATATTAAATAACTCTGAAAATCCAGAAGAAAAATGCCAAAAAGGTGACAGAAGAATGGGCAAAGACCTGTTCAGATCACAGTAAAGTATATTTTTAAAAAATGAAGAGAGTATCAACTTCACTCATATTAAGAGAAATGGAAATAAATATGGAGGAATTGAAATGAAACTTCTACTGAGACACTTGAGCTCATCTGAGAGGTGGCCCAAAATTCAAAAGTTAAACAGCACCCTTCATGGGCATGGTTGTTTTCTTCAATGGGTGTTGCAAAATATCTCTTTTGTATTTCTATAGTTTTAAGTTCATTCTATCCGTGTTTTTATATTTTAGATGTGTCTCTTGTAAATAGCACAAAATTGGGACTTGCATGTTTTTAACAAGACTGACAACCTCTGTCTTTTAATTAGAGTTTTTAATCTGTTTCCATTGAATACAATTACAGATATGGTTGGGTTGAAGAATATTATATTGCCATTTGATTTCTATTAGTGTGACTGATTGTTTCTTTTGTGCTTTTTCTCTCTTCTTTGGTGGTTACTCCTTTTGTCTTACTTATTGGGATGTATTTATATCTCTGTACGATTATGAATTTGTACCAGGTGAACAAACAGTTAACCTAGTTTACTATTTGGAAGTGCTGAAAAAGTTAGATGACCTGAACTTTTCGCCAACAATTTATGGCTCTTGCATCACAACAATACACCAGCTCACGGGGCACTGTCTGTGAGGGAATTTTTAGCCAGTAACAAATAAATGTATTGGAACACCCTCCCTACTCACCTGATCTGGCCCCCAATGATTCTTTCTTTACCCAGAGATAAAGGAAATATTGAAAGGAAGACATTTTGATGACATTCAGGACATAATAGGATGGCAACTCTGATGGCCATTTCAGAAAGAGTTCCAAAATTGCTTTGAAAGGTGAACTAGGTAATGGCAATAGTGCATAGCTACCCAAGGGGAGTACTTTGAAGGTGGCTGTAGTGATATTGAGCAATGTGGTATGTAGTCCTTTTTCTAGGATGGACCCACAAATTTAATTTTTGGACCTCATATATTACTTTCATGATTACTCTAGGACAGGGGTTGGCAAACTTTTGACCCGGAAGAGCCAATCCTGTCCCACACAACAATTTAAAAATTATTTGAGAGCCATAAATATATTTTACATATAAGAAAAATTTAAAATGATATTATAATACGTAATAGTATTAATTATATCTATTAAAATAAGGAAAATTCACACAAAAATTTGCTCACATGTATGTACTCAAAGGCCGCTTATGGCTTGCGAGCCACAGTTTGCTGACCCCTGCTCTAGGATAAAATATGCCTTCTCATATCACAGTCTATTGGAATTAATGTTGTAGCACTTCCTATGAGGAACTTGTAATGATACATTTTCACTTATCCTCCTTTCCACCTTTAGTATTTAGTTTCATTTTATACTACAATTTCTCTTTTGTCCTTATGCTTACAATAGGGATCATTTCCCTTCAGCCTGAAGAACTTCTTATAGTATTTCTTTCAGTGCAGGTGTGATGGCAACAAGTTCTCTTCCCTGTGCTTTTATGAACATGTCCTTATTTTCACCTTCATTTTTGAGCAATATTTTCAGTGGATATAGAATTCCAGAACTAGATCGGCTATTTCTTTTTTTTCTTTCAACAGAATAAAAATGTCATTTTACTGTCTTCTGACTTTCATTGCTTTTTACGAGAAGCTCATGGTAATTTTATTGTTGCTTTCCCTAAGTAATATAACTTATTTTTCCCCTATGAATAGTTTCATTTTTTTCTCTTTATCTTTGATTTTCACCATTTTGACTATTATGTGAGTAGATGTGATTTCTTTGTCCTTCCTGAGGTTCACTGAGCATCCTGAATCTGTGGATGACAATAGTTTAGCAAGAGGCCTATGAAAAAAGGAACCCGTTGCTGTACTCCTTTGATGGTAAAATATGGTTATTGCTCAGACTCAGTGTTGTGTGGGATATGAAGACAGGAAACAAGCCCTGTGAGTCTGTAAGTCCAAAAAGAGTGGAATTATGGCAGAAGTGTGGTGGTGGGCAGGGAAGGCAGAGCCATCCTAATACATTTTTTTGGAACAAGATAGCAATCTCTTGCATTTTTTGGGGCATATTCCCCCTAACTCTGGGAGCTGGCTTTGCAGTTTTCTCTATAGTCATGATGAGTCTGGACTCTTCCTGTGGGTCTGGAGGGAAGAAGGGGTGGTGGAAGTAGGTCTTGGTGAGTAGAGGAGTTACAGGACTATCATATTTTGTTTTGTTTTTGAATGTTCATGACAAAGATTTTTTCCCCCCTCTTTCTACCCCCACCTCCGAGCCGTTCATTGTCCTCAGTCTAGTTGTGGAGGATGCCTCTTCGCTGGCCCATGTTGGTATTATAATCATTGCACTCCTCCTGGCTGAGGTAGTCGGTCGTCGGCCATTGGATGGCCGCTCATGGTGGCTCACGTCAGCTCTCGCTGTCTGCCGGCCACTCACACTGGCTGCAAGTTGCTCATGCTTGCTACCAGCCATGGCTCATGGCAGCCCACAGCAGCCCACAGCAGCGCACGACAGCACAGCGCAGCCCACGGCAGCCCAAGGCACTCACGCCGTCCCCCGGTCACTCATGGCAGCCCAGATCCAGGTCAAGCTGTTGTTCACAATCTTAGCTATAGAAGGTACAGCTTACTTGCGGAGCTCTCTGGCCCATTTGGGAATCGAACTGGCAGCCCTGTTGTTCAGAGCTTGTGTTCTTGCCAAATGAGCTAGCTGGCCACTCCATGACAAAGATTTTGAAGCAAGGGAAGGATATCTTTTTCCATGTGGGGCTGGGGTGGGGTGGGAGAGGTACTCCCACCAACACAGGAGATTTGAAGGAATGGGCATGTTTAAGGTGCTTACTGGTCTCCATCCCAATGTGTCCATGAGCAGCCTTCAGCTCACAAAAGAAAGCGTTTTGAATACTTGTCACAGCATGGCTGCCACAGATTCCAGAGGCTTTCTCTCCAGGGAGGTGTGTGAGTAGAAGCTTATCTTTTGTTCAGGGATGCCAGGAAGTCATCGCAGGGCAGGTGTTAGAAAACACATAAAACCTCTTGCTGGGCTGGCTGTCAGGGAACTGGACTCAGTCCAGGCTCTGTCCTACCTCTG